TAAGTGACTCTGGAAATTAAGCGTATTGCAAAGTTGTATTGAGAAAGAATAAACTAGTTTTATTTAAGAAAGGACATGTATCGCTGAAGTTTCTCGGGAAGAATTTCTAAGGGAAATTAACAAACGAACAGAGACGTAACAATATAATTAATAACTCATAATACTGTTTTTATAAATTACTTGCTTTCAGTTCAAATTAACTTGCAAGCTAACAAAATTTTTTGATGTATACAATCATAGAATTACTTTTTTTTATAAAATAAAGAGCAGACAATTCTCTTTCTAACGCTTGTTCATCTAGTCAGAATTAAGTTATTGCAGTTTATTTAAAATTGCCCCGGTGGCTGAGTGGTAAGTCTGAGGGCTTATAATGCTGAAAATTTGATTTCGATACTCTCGATGGGCTGAGCACAGGTATCCAATCGTGTAGCTTTGCGCTTAACAACAAACAAACAAATACTTTAATTTTTTTGTCAAATATGACGTACAATATTTATTTATTATTATTAATGTATTTAAATTGATTTGATAGAGTTTTAATAAATGATAATGATAAGTTTAGTAGAAAATAAATTTTGAAGTGCATTAGGTAACGTTCAGTTATTGCATTGATATATCAGATTTTTTCAAGATGGTTTTTCTGGGTATTAAGTAATTTTTGGTGTTTGGGTTTATCCTACTTTAGATAGTATTTCACTCATAAGATTTATGAATGTTAAATAAGCAATTATATTAATGCAATACTAATATAAGAAAAATACTCAGTGGGGTATGCACACCGTTTGCCATTTTGTCAGTGTGGTAAAATACACAAAAGGTTTAAATGAAGTATACATGACGAAGTACAAGAAAATTAAACAAATCCGCTTGACAATGTAGTTAAATTGCAACTTTCAAATTTGAAAAGTGATGGTCTTGTGCTTAATGATATGTAAAATCACAAGTGAATCATTTCTCAGACAGCTATCACAGAAAAATTCAGATGTTAGTCAAATAATTCCTTATATTGAAGCTAATGCAGCATGTATCTGATTATTTTTTTGTAAAAATGTAAACAGTTTAGGTTAATTAATAAAAAATGACAATTGTTTTACTGAAATGGCTAATTGTAATTTCTTTATTAGGAAATTATTCAATAAACAGTATAAATCTAATACCTATAGAATTATTCTCTACTGTATATTATTTAAACATTTTGTTATACTTTCCCAATGACAGTAAATGCTGAATTGTGTAGTGAAGATACCCTACACATCAGTACGAAAATGAAATATTGCTGGAAATGTAATACCTATACCTGAATTAGTTGGATGGCGATCGGTGAGCATTCTCGGCTTCGCACTGAAAATTAAAAAAAAAACGAATGTCAGTTCGTTAGATTTTTTTTTATTTAAACAACAGGCGTTTTAAGACATAACAGTATATATCTGAACTGTGAAAATATTTTTGGCAAGATAATTTGGAGTACTTTATTTTAAGAGTCTAAGGTCAGTACAATCCTTTTATCGACCGTTTATTTGATAAATAATAGCCGTAATAAGGCTGAAGAAGTCCTTCTTCAGTACTTGTTATCGTATCGGTAATTGTAGCGTTAAACGTTAAGCCTAAGATTCGAATAAGGATCGAAGTTTCGGGCGCGAATTAAAACAGATACTCAAAAGTTCCCAAATATATAAGTGTAAATGACGTAACCAAGAAGTTTGTTTTTCACCTTCATGTTACAATTTACAAGTGGTATCTCAAACTTAATAAAATAAGCTCAATCAAGTCAATGTATATCACTATATGACACACTGATAGTGTTACCCTAACTAAGTTAATGCCGTTAAAGTTTAATTTAAAAACCAAAACAATGAGGAAAACACATAATACACAACCGAGATTATATCATTATTTTAAGGTTTTGTTTTCGTTTCTTAATGATACTGATAGGTCACATATTTAAGGTTTCAAAATATTCTTAAAAATGGTTTAAATCAAACATTTACTGAAACTTTGAAAGTGAAGTCTATAAACTAAGATTTGTTTTGTTGTTTTTTGTGAAACCTGTTCTGGAACCCTACTTTTATTACAGACCTAGAATATACTGTAGTTTATTATATAGTGGGCTTGGAGGTCACTGTACACATCAGTTATAGTTCAGAAACTCAAGAGTGTAATATTTGCCATGTAAGTTGTTATGATATAAACCAGTTCAAGACAGAATTCATGAACAACTGGCATTGTAAAAGCATGGATTTGGATAAGTCATTAGGAATTCATTTTAGATGTGTTACAAGGCAGACAAACAATTTTCAAATCATGATAATCAATACAAATAGAACTAGCTTATTTTAGCTATAATATAGTATTCTTTGAACCGGATATTATAACTACATATACATATTTTTACACTTGACATATATGTATCTGTTCCTGAACATTTATAAATGTTAAGTACCTGAAATCTTGTGTTTAGTTTGTTTTTCTTTATTTTTCAAGAACACATTATTTTATATTTGTACTCACCACTCTCTAAAAAACAGTGAACTTGGTGAAAAATCCTTTGTGTGTACATTGTATACAAATATGTGTAACCATTTTGTGATCTTGGTGTCAGCAGTGTATTAGTCTTAACAGTTCCCTATTTAGTAGATATAAATTCCTTGAAAATCCTTTTTCTGTGGTAGCTAAAATAATGGAAATTAACCTGTTTTCATTTTTTTGATTGAAAAAAAAAAGTTGTATACTAATTAATTTCCAAGTAGTTGTTATTATTAATTTTTCTGTTTCATCATAAGTTAGATGTTTTGATTGTAGTTTTCAAGATGTGATACATATAGTAGATTGATCAAGACTGTGTCAATCATGATGGTGTAGTTGACAAATGAGAATAGTGGTAGTTGACCTTTTAGTGCCTCCTTTATCCCCTCATCATTTGTACTCTACAACTCAGTTTGACTGGCTAATACCGTATGCTGCATGTGTTGTACATTACAGTTACACTTATAATACTGTATGTTGCATGTGTTGTACACTACAGTTACACCTATAATACTGCATGTGTTGTACACTACAGTTACATCTATAATACTGTATACTGCATGTGTTCTACACTACAGTTACACCTATAATACTGTATACTGCATGTGTTGTACACTACAGTTACACCTATAATACTGTTTGCTGCATGTGTTGTACACTACAGTTACACCTATAATACTGTATGCTGCATGTGTTGTACATTACAGTTACACCTATAATACCATATGCTGCATGTGTTTTACACTACAGTTACACCTATAATACTGTTTGCTGCATGTGTTGTACACTACAGTTACACCTATAATACCATATGCTGCATGTGTTGTACATTACAGTTACACCTATAATACTGTATGCTGCATGTGTTGTACACTACAGTTACACCTATAATACTGTATGCTGCATGTGTTGTACACTACAGTTACACCTATAATAC